TCTGGTCCTCTCCTTCACACTCACAGCCAGAATCCCCTCTCCTTTCTTCTCCCTCTGTCTCATGTACACATTCTTTAGCCACACCCTCCCAGGAAAACTCAAAAACTGGAGTCAGACAAAAAATGAAAGTGGAGAAGAGTCGTGCCTTTGGATTACATTCACTAAAAGTTTGTGTCTCCAGCTTCTGCGAGGCCTAACTATGTGGCAGTCCTTTGTGTGCCCTTTCAGACCTGACAAATCCAGCCTTCTACAGCTCTGGAATATTTGAGGTCATCAGAAAAGAATTCCTTAGACTCCCCCTTGTCTCGAGTTTCCCCTGACTTATGTAAAGTCCTTCTTCATGCTTGAATTGGATCTGTCTGGGATCTTGTTTTACTGCTTATTCCCCTTTGCCTGTATCTTGACAGTGTTCAGTCTTTTCTATGTCGTTTTTGATTTAAACATGAACCATTTTCTGGCCACCATCTTCCATTCCTCACTGACCCGTGCTTGGAGTAATCAGGGAAACCCTTAAGGCCAGTGATTGAGGGAGGGTGTTTGTAATGAGACAGCAGTGGGAATGCCGAGCAGTGGTGTCTGTTCTGGGAAGGAGGGAAAGTGAGAGCAATGGAGCACTATTACACCACAGGGGTGGGTGCCAGTGTACCCTGCTCTTTATACAGCTCTGTGCCAAGTCCTGAGATCAGGGATTGTGCTGCCTCTGCTTTTTCTCCTTTCCCAAGATTGCTTTGACTAAAGATCTCCTGTGCTTCCATATGGACTTTAGGATTGCCTCTTCCCATCTGTGAACTCCATGGGTTGCTGTGACACGGGTGACACGGACATTCATCAGTATTAATTCCATGAATCTATTAACAGGGAAGATCTTTCCATCTTACTCTTGCGACTATTTCATTGGTGTTCTATAATGTCCATTGCAGAGGTCTTTTTATTTTCTTACTAAGTTTCCTGGTGTGCGTGCACACGTGTGTTGTAGGTGGTTCTAGTGAGTAAGGTAGCTTCCTGGCCTTCCCCTCACGTGCTTCCCTGGACAACATGAATGTAGCCGCTACATTTGTAGGTGGATGTCCTCTTGTAATATCAAAAGATTGGATACCCTTGAATTTAGTAAATTTATTACTGCGGATAGAAGAGCTCAGGGCTTTGAATGCTGACTTTGTATCCTTTCCTAAGTTCATGCATCAGTTTTAAATGTTCAGACGGCGTACTTAGTTCTATGTAATTAAATGCATAAACAGACTGGCTGCCTACTTGCCTGCCTCTGGTGCAATGCTGAATGAAAGCATTCAGTTCTTAAAAGTTTAAGAATTGAGCATTGAGGCCATTTGGTGGTCCTGGGCTTTTTTCCTTTATTAGGAAACTTGATACTCATTTAAACTTTGCCATTGACTGATTTGTAAATGCCTAGAACATTTTCCCCTCAAGTTTTGTAACTAACATGTAGTTGTGTAGTAACTGCTCCTGAATTTTTGTGTTTAGTTAATACGGGTTTTAATATCCCCTTTTCCTAATTGTTTTAATTGGGTCTTCCCTCTCTCTCTGGTATTGATTGTTGTCCTATGGTCTTCTATCTTTATTTCTGACTAGTCAGTCAGTGTTGGCCCAGAGGTGCCACAGGAAAGCTGGTAGGAACCTGAGTACCCCCTTCATGTCACACGAGTCCCCACAGGACTGCACAGGTTGGGAGGGATGGTGCAGAAGCAGAACCGTCATTATGTTGTTCCTTTGATGGCATTGTGTACCCAAGAGCTGGAGCAAAGTTTTAGGCTCTCACTACGGATAGTTCAAGGTGTGATGTTCAAACCACAGCTGCCCTAGGCCCCTCTGTGAATCCGTCTTGGAATACAGCAGCAAATACAGTAGGTTTTTGTTCTGTGGGTTAGAGAGCAGGGACCATTGCGGTGCCTGTCTCCAGCCCTAACTGCTTTACATTCATATTTCTGACGATCCCCTGGATTTCCACAAGGCGAGCACCTTGAAGAGGGTGGTTCCCTGTCCCAACACTCATCCCTCACAGTACAAGACACCCACCAAACATGGGTCATCATTACTGTGCTGGGCCAAGTCAGTTTCATCAGATAACTCAGTGTGGTGGAGAGTCTGGGTTGGCACACAGAAATGTACATTGTTTGTGATCCCTAGATCAGTCTCTTCCTAAAGCTGTAGCCCCTGGGCAGTATTGCCAGGTCCTGGTTACTGCTGGGCTAGTGTGCAAACTTCAGGTTATTTACCTTAGTGGGTTGGTGTGAGGATTGCCCTAAGTCTGCTGGCAATTTCCCTTTCATCCTATTGTTCAGTAGCTATGATATTTGTGGTATTTTGTGTCCTTGTGCCACTGTTGGTGGGCTTTGTAATAGTATATAATACTTGAGTCTCTCACTGATACTCCATGTGCTCATTCACCCCAAAACAAGGCTATATACCCATTACTTTGGCTCTTTTTTGTAGAGGGAGGGGCCCCATAAGTTTCTTTAAACAGCAGTGCCTCCCCTGACGTGTGCTCACACCTCTCCCACGTCTGAGATTGTGAGCAAGTTATTTTATCTGACCTGTCCGTGGGTCAGTGTCCTCATGCCTAAGTGAGGTAATGACACCGACCTCAAGGAACTTTGAAGTGAAAAGTACAAGAATTAAGACAGTGGCTTTGTTTGGGTCCCCTCTTCCTCTTGGCTTCTCCCCTCTCCTCTGAGACAGGGTCTAGTCCTGTAGCTCTGGCCTTGAGTGACATCCTCCTGCCTTATCCTCCCTGGGTGTGTGGACCAAAAGCATGCACAGCCACACCTGGCTTAGAGCCTTTCCCTGTCCTTTTGTGCTGTAGCTTCTATCCTTTCTAAGTCACACTCCACCTTCTTGGAGCCTCAGGTTCCCCTAAACTCATCTGACTCCTTTTCACACTTTTCCGGCCCCCCACCTTTGGTCCTACCGGAATTAATCAGCTGTGTGGTTCACAAACAGCGCCCTCTATCCTAGCTCCATGTTCGCATTAACCTCAGCATGGATTTACCTCCTATGTGAATAGTAATTAATCAGAATTGATGCACACTCTCTCTAACCCCAAGGATACTGACTTCTTAGGAAATTCCCTTCTCTACATTATTTCTGGTCTAACTGTAAATACTGTTTCTGATAGATTGATAAAGAATTGGCTAGTGGTGAATACTTTTTGAAGGCGAATCAGAAGAAGCGGCAGAAAATGGAAGCAATAAAGGTAAGGACTTTTCAGATCACACACAGCATCAGCAGCACAGTCTGTTATCAGTAGTGTTTTAACTAAGGCGTTTCTCACCGATGTAGGCTAAGCAAGCAGAAGCTCTTACGAAGAGGCAGGAAGAACGAAATAAAGCATTTATTCCACCTAAGGAAAAGCCAGCTGTGAAGCCAAAGGAAGGTAAGATATCTGTGGTATATGACGAACTACCCCAGAGCACATATCAGCCTCTAAGAAACGACTGGTTTCATCAGCTGTGTTAATTACTCACGAGCCTAGGCAAAAGTGACCATCAAGGTTTTTTATAATCTTGGTGGCTGCCCTGTGCTGGGGTAACATTCCTTATTGGAAAAGATGTAACCCCAGAGCCACGGGTCATCTCTGTGAAGATACCAAACACTGTTGCCATGCTTCAGAGGCCTTTCCCAGCTGTGGCTTCAAAGCCCCTTTCTGTGTTAACACATACTTCTTCTCATCATCTTAAAGTCTGAATAATGTGTCAAGAGGGAAAACCTCAGGTCACCCCTTAACCACATCTGTTCTCTCTATAGCACTTGTCAGAGTCACCTTCCAAAGCCAACCTTTGCACAAGGAGGGGGGAAACACAATTTAAGTACTTTAGTCATTAGTGATGGTTGCACAGCTGTCAAAGTTGTAGCTGTCCCATGGAGTGGAGGTTTATTTTTTAAAATGTCTGAACCTCCTGGGTCTAGGCTGTTTGGATGGTACATTTTTAAGTTTTAATTCTTTCATGGTAAGAAAAAGTTGCATCCTTTTAAAATTGTTTTCTGTATTTAGTTCAGCCTTTTGACACTGGTAAAACAGTTTGGCCTGTTAAAAACTGTAATGTGACAGCATCTAGTGGTCTCATTAACAAAATCATGTTAATATGCTAGCTTAATTTGATAAGCCTTGTTAAGTATAGAGCCCTTCTAGCTTTTGTAACTTTAACTTTTCATGAAATATAATTTTTAAATTACTTTGTGTGTGGTGTGGAAAATTGGCTTCCTGATGAATGAATACTTTAAAGTTCCAAAATACAAAATCATTTGTAATGTGTAGTACAAATCAAGTAATGTGTAAAGAATGGAGTTTGTAACTGAATTCGACATACTGTCTGTCGTGACGTTTCATCTGCATGATTGTTGCGTCTCTCAACTTGAGGGACCAGCTGTTCTTAGACGGCTCTGTTTCATAGTAAAAATATAATCTGAAATTTGCATCTATTTTAAACGTTTGCAGCTTCTACTGAAACTAAGATTGATGTGGCTGCTATCAAGGAAAAGGTTAAGAAAGCAAAGGCCAAGAAACTGGGCGCTCTCACAGCAGAGGAAGTCAAGCTCAAGATGGAGGCTGACCAAAAGAAACAGAAGAGAAAAAAGTAACATTGGAAACAATGCCGATTGTTCTAGGGTGTTTCCTTTTGTAAAGGATTCTGAGACACAAAAGCTTTAACTGAGTCGAACTCAGAAAATCATGACCAGTTTGCTTCTGTTCAAGGACGTATCTTTGTAAATACATGGTGTAGATACTTATGTGTACATTGTGCCCAACCAGTTCCAGACAGGTTTTGCCTAGATGTTTTAGGAATACCTGTTATTTTAAATTGTACAGATTTTTGGAATGAGACTATTAATTCATCAAATCCAATGTTTGTTGCCATTGGCTGTTCTTTATAAGCATACCCAAAACATTTGTTTTTTAGGCAAATACTTCGAAAATTTCCATTCTATTTCTTTTGTTAATTTTACTCCAGGATTACAACAACAAAAAACAACCCATAAACAGAAAATCCAAGGCCTCTAAACCAAATTTATTCTGATTGACGAAATGATACCGGAAAAATGTATATGGCTATCTACCCTACATGTAAGCCTGTGCACACCTGGTCCCCGCCCCCGGAGGCTAGAGGAGGGCATAGAATGCACTGGAACTAGAGGTGTCGGTGGTAATGAGACACAGTGATGGGGCTAGAAATCAGACACCGGGCTTCACAAGAGCAGCAAGTATTTTTGACAGCAACTGGACTTAGAATTATCAAAGATTTACAGAAATCTGTTAGATTTCCCAGGAGTACGTTACTGAAAGTCTACCTGTAGAAACCTGGTCAGTCCGAATTCATAATGTAGAAAGACAAGTTAACTCTGTAGACTTAGAAAACTAAGTTCTTTTGACTAAGATTTTATTGAAACATTTTAAAATAGCCACATATGAGTAAGCTGTTCCCCAACCATGGCATTAGTCCAAAAGAACTAAGTTAGGATATTTGTGCTTTACCCAAATGGTAATTATAACACACAGTAATAGAAGAACTGACTTAGCAATGAGAAAGAGAGATGTGTATCTGTTACGTAGATATATAGGCCAGTCTGGATAATCAACAGAGTGGTAACCTGTGAAACAAACAAGAACGTACTTAGTTTCTCATGATGTGCTAACCCAGCCTACATAGTGCCCCGTGAAAACTGTTTAAGGTTTGCATACGTACGTGAGACCTGATCCCGTCGTGGGTTAGCTGTAAAACCGGAATTAAGAAAAAGTTAGGTATAGGGGATCAATCCAGTTTTAGCTGCTGGGTCAGTATGGTAATTTTCTTAGTCTTTTTATATAAACTTGTTATGTGAATTTTTGTACAAAAGAAATACTATCAGAATGACTGGAAAAATTTAATATGACACAGCTACCAGATGCATTTGACTTTGAGCTATGGTTGAAACTAAAGATTAAAATATGATTTGTTTTAAATAACTCAATTGAAGTATTTTCTTTAATTAAAGTAGTTTGTTAGCTCCTCCCCAAGTGTAAGGAAACTGTTTATGATGAATGCTGTAGCAGTTTCTCATCAACCCAGCAGGACACCAGAGTCTCAGCAGGGCATCTCTCTTATCAAAAGTCACAATGTCTCTCCCTTCCTTCTAAGCACTCCTATCCCAGCCCTGCTGCAGTGAGGCAGTCTTTCAGATGTGGCAGCAAAGAACCATGGGATTGGCATAGCTGCCGTAGCTTTTGGCTCCCTTCACACTGTGGAAAAATAGACGTCTTAAATCTGTTAAATCAGACATGTGATTGTTAGTTACAGCCGTCTAGAAATTAGCTACTGAGTGAAGATTCGCAGCTCTCCACAATGCTTGCCAGACTTCTCTCATTTCCCTGCAGCTCCAGCTTTGGCTAGTCTGGCTTACCTGCCAGTGTGGAGAGATACAAGACCTGCAGACCTGTAGCATTCTCCTCCAACCTTCTGTGTGTGCATCTTTTCTTTATGCCTAGTGTTTTGAGCTCCTTTCTGAATCATACCAAGGCCAACTCAAAACACATGCTTATACCTTAATTCTATAGAAAGTTTTTATCTTACTTACTGCAGAGATTGTTCAGACACTTGTCATCTTTTGGGCAGTTACTGCAAGTGGCTCCTTGCTTATATGGCCATGTTGGGTAATTTCCTCTGTAAAACAGAAGACCGTTAGTAGAGGGGCCCCCAACACAATTGCACTTCACTCCGAATGTCTGACCAAACCCCAATGATGAGATGGATGAAGATTCAGGAGGCTAATGAAATGTATAGAGATGGAAGCACGTGGAAGGTTGCTAGTATCTGGAGGGCCCATGGTTCGTGAACTCTGTTCATGAACTTTGTATAGTTTGTACCGTCATATTTATACCATCATATCTATGAGGACTCTTGAGAAGGAATTATTTTTGTTTCTGTTTAGCAGGTAAGGAAACTGAAGATCCTAGAGATTAATAATTTGCCAAAGATGTCAGTTTACATGTGTGAACCAGAAAAAAAAACCCTAGAAATGTCATTATGTTGGGCTCTTTCTGCCTAACTGATAGCATGTGTGCTTACTTCCACCCAAACACTGCCTGATCCTAGAAAAGCTACTATACATTGTATGTATTTTCTGGGTACCAGGCCATCATGGTTTTTACCAGATAGACCATTCAGCTGGGTGAATGACCTCCAAAAGAAAAAGATGGGAAAACTAGAAACAATTTATTTATATAAACGTGATAGTCACTGATAAACTATTACATAATCAGATATCTAAGGGCTAGAGAGAGCTTAGTACTTGATACCTCTAAACATGTTGGACTTTTGTCTGTGCATAAGATGAGGAGGATAACTTACCATTTTTGCAGTATTGGAGACTAAATTTAAAGTTTCATCCCTGCTAGGCAAATGCTCTATCAGTATACCACATCCCCTAGCCCCAACCCCCAAAAGCTAATTTCTGAAGCAACTTTAACGTGAAACCAAACGAGATTAGAAGATACAGACGTGTGTATATCTATGCATGTGGGACTGGGAATGAGATTACAGTTATGGTATCTTTCACTGTTAAAAAAGCACAACACTCCATAAACAGCCTAAGTTGTAGAATGGTTGTGATTAAATCACTATTAGTTTACTTTTTATATTGTCCGTTCCAAACTAATAGAAAAGGAGGAAATGTCACTTAGATTCATTTTGGGGAAAACAAACTAGGAAGGCCTGGATTTGTTTGGGTGAGTATCCTTAAGACAAAGAGACTTTACCATATTCTGCCTAATCAAGCAGAATATTTTTAAATTTGTTCTAGACACCTAAGATAAGAGGTTTGGGAGCCTGGGAAAGAGGGAAGAGGACACAGTATGAGCAGAAGTCCCCAAGGGGCTGGCCTAAGATGGCGGTGCACAAAGCTTACACCCTCTTCTGCTCTATAATCCTGGAGTCATGGGTTATAACAGATGTGTATAGAACATCACATCCAGACACTGAAGAACATACTTGGCAGCACCCCATGTTACATTCTCCAAAACTGACCACATAATTAAGATGCAAGCAACTCTCAAGAAATATAGGAACAATTGAAGTAACATTTACCCCGTACAAAAGGAATAAAGATATCAGCAAAAAATAAGCCAATAGATGAAACATGTAGAATATTCCCACACAGAACGATTCAGCATTATCTACCATTGTTTTTATAATTACCAGAACCTAAACTGTTTCTATCTGAAAAATTCAACTATCTAAAGTACTGACGTAATTAGTTAGTGTAAACTGAGCAATTATTTCCACCTTAGTTCTTTGTTTTGAAGTGTGCAAAAGTTTGCTCTGATTTTTAAGAAAAGAGTAAGTTAATGTCAATTCTTTCCTTGTATTATAAATATCTCAATTTACATTCCTGGCAAGCATTTTAATCTTGCTATTCTTTTTTTTTTTTTTTAAACTTTATTTATTTGTTTATTATAAGTACACTGTAGCTGTCTTCAGACACCCCACAAGAGGGCATCAGATCTCATTGTAGATGGTTGTGAGCCACCATGTGGTTGCTGGGATTTGAACTCATGACCTCTGGAAGAGCAGTCAGTGCTCTTAACCACTGAGCCATCTCACCAGCCCCTAATCTTGCTATTCTTAAAGCTGAACGCTGTTGTAGTATTTTAAAGCATATGTTTGTGTGCATAAACACACCCCCACAGTATTAATGTAGTGAGACTCTGGGCAGGAGATTTAGAAGCCTTGAGATTTTTTTTCTTTATATTTTTTCTAGATTTTCTATATTAAAGATGAATACCTATATTAACATCTTTTTAGAATTTAATTCAGGCACTTACGCTGGTCCATAGTTGCATATAAAAATTGTTCCTTTAAGGCAAAGTTGCACTGCACAGCCAAGCTTGTAACTATCTGCCCAAACAACCTGAAAGTACAAGAAGATTTCTTACCATAGCAATGATTAGCAAGCTTTCATAGTCATGTTAAGGAATATCTAGTTAGTTGCCTAAGAGTCTACTGAGGAAATTTTAAGCACTCAGAACTCAGCTGGAAACAAGTCCTGAGTTAGAGTCTCAGTACAGTGTGCATGGGTGCATGTGTAAAAAATAAACATGTCCATGACAAGATGATATTGGAAAGCTGTCATAGGGTCCCTGCAGCTACCACTGGGAGCCTGGACATGAACCATGATGAGGTGAAAGTGAAACTAGGAACAGCCGGACTTGGTCAGTCAGGCTGGATAAATCTTCAGGAGCCTGATCCTGGGGTTTAAGTCTCTTACACATTTCAACACAGTCAGACTGGGGAGGGAGGGGTAAGTCTCCCCATGATCATTCTTCTAACAGAGCTTCAGAATGACTACATCAAATCCCCTTGCACCTGTGCCCTTTATGATAAGAAAGTTCTCTTGGCTGATAACAGTGTTCAGGGCCAGGGCCTAGAGCAGAGGAAGGATTTGTCATAAGCGTAAGGATGTGGTCTATTGATGGAGGACACCAAGGTACATGGGGGTCTCTTTCATAAGGAGTCACTAAAACAAAGGCCAAGAGCAGCCCAGACTGTTCTGAGGATTTGGGGGAAATTCAGGTGGAGACTGGCTCCTAATAGAAGAGCAAGTGACCCCTGGATTGTGTGCCCACGTTAACTCCAGCATTCCAGGTGACCAGGCGTCATCCTTCCCTCCACTGAAGAAAGCAAACCCACGTGCTCAGCACTCATGTTTTCTTTAGTGCTTACCCTGAAGTGGTGCTTCCTACAGAGAGCTGCTACAAGGAAATAAAACACAGTAACTTGAAGGTGTGTCTGAAGGGAGGAAAGCAGCCAATTCAAAGGGTGTTGAGGGAAGACGGCTCTGAAGTGACCTTTGAACCCAGATGTGAGTGATAAGGATATAGACCAAAAAAAAAAAAAAAAAAAAAAAAAAAAAGCATCAGAAGACTTGTGCAATGGATAAAGCAGCTGGAGTAAAAGTTGCTTGGTATGTTAGGGTGGCAGGAAAAAAGGTAAGTAGAGGCAGAATCTGGATGGGGGACAGTCACAGACCAGATCAAAGGGAGCAGACTAAGGAATTCTGATAGGTAAGAAAAAGATTCTTTTTTCTTTTTTTTGAGCCCACTTGGCACTTACGGAATAAATGAACTGAGAGGACCAGGGGGAGGATGAGGCAATTCTTGAGGGTTATTTAGCAGTGTAGGAATGAGCACATGGTAACTCACGTTTGGGTGATAGAATTCCTGGAGGCTGATGAAGTTCTTGACTCACAAGAACAGCTGAGAACACTCAGATTTTATTTATTCTGGGGGTGGGGGGGGGGGGGTATTTGGGCTTGGAACCCAGGTACTATTTTTTACAGAAAACCAGGAACCAAGCAAGGTAAGTAGGACCTTGGGCACAGGGTTCTGTTCAAAGCATGTTCATTTTGAACTGCCTATTTATATATCCCAGTAAAGACTGGAAGTCCTAGGCCTAATTACCTGCAGTCATGAGGATGGGCTAACAGAGATACAAATCTTGAAGTCACAAGGTTAAATAAGACCAGATGGGCAGAGGTAATAGAAAAGGGTGAAGGGAGCTTTTGTGTGTCATATCTATTGCACCTGTTGGGGACAAGTGGTGACATAAAGGTGCTGGTATGTCTCTGAGGGCAAACAGGTGGAAATGCCTGATTGCCAACAGTTGGTATATCAGTTGTTAAGTCACTATGACAAAATATCAGTGGAAAGGCATGTTCTGGGTCCTGAATGGTCAGTTGTCATTGCCTTTGGGTCTGTGATAAGGGTCTTGGAAACTAGTCACACCTTGTGATGTGAAACCACAAGACAGAAAAGGGAATAAATTCCCAGCATCCCTTTCAAGTGAACACCCCCGTTGACCCCTTTGTCTGGACCCTACCTCCTAAAAAACCCATTCCCTCCCACTTTCCAACATGCTCCAGGCCTTTGAGACCTTGCAAATAGTTTTCAAAGTTAGGCTTAGCTGGGTATGGTGTCTTACTTACATCTGTAATCCCAGCATTCCGGAAGATGAGACAGGAAGCTCACTGTGAGTTTAAGGCCTACTTGGGTTACACAGTGAATCTGAGGCCAGCCTGGACTATCCAGTTAGTTCCATTGTTATCTGTACTTACAAGTCAAGGAAGCAAAGCCAGGGTCACAGTGTCAGGGCAGGAGTATGAACTCAGATTTTGTAGCTCCAGTCCATATCTGGAACATGCCTACCAGCAAAGCTTTTATTAAACAAAAATGAAAAACTTGCTAGTCCATCTCCAATGAACATAAAGCTAAAGTCTTGAATTTAGTACGTCAACACTATACTATTCTCATTGAGATAATCAATCTGAATTTATGCTCTGTACCTGTTTATCATTGGGCAACATATGTAAACAACTTGATTTTCAAAAGAAGAGGGTAGGTAGAGGTTTCAGTCCCTACTTTAGGTAACTTTCCAGTATGAAATGACACCACCACCAGTAAGGTCTCTTAGAAGGATGAAACAGGAATTTTAGACAAGTATTTATCAGAAATCCTCTTCTAACATAAGTTATTACAAAACTAGATTACAGAACTCCACTCTTTGTTAACTGGCTACTGACAAGTGTCGGTCCAGATTCCTGCACAGGTCACTCTGTGATATTAGCTTATATGACAATCTGCTCTCAGAAGTGTGAGGAAGGAGAAACAGGAGGAAGGCAGGGAGAAAAGGGTCCAGCTGTGGATGGTTTCTGGCTCTCAGGAGAGCTCTCTCTGATTTGGGGAGACACGTGTATGCATGGCTAGTACAATGAAGAGAAACGGACAGAAGCCGTATGAACAAAGATGCCACAGAAACTATCCAGCCAAGGGCTCACACCGTGTTCCGTGCGGTAAGAGATGGAGGAGTTGGTCCTTGAAAATCGAGTTTGTCAAATCAAAAGGAGGAAACTTCAGGATCAGTTAACCAGGTGAAGACGGTGTGCCAGGTATATGAAGGAGCCTGTTACTTTAACTGAAATTTAAGTAGCTGAACATGCAAAACACGTAGCAGTCAGAAGACAATTCACTTTTTTAACAGACTTGTTACCCATCCGAATATCCTTGATCCCAGGGAGTCAGAACAGGAGGGGTAAACTCAAGTTCATGTCATACAGACTTGAGACAGCAGAAACCTCCCTCAATTTGTAAGTTCCTCCTTCCCATCTAGGCCAAAAGGGAAGGCTAATACTTGGGACATGAGAAAACTAATTTTCAAAATCCTATCTCTCCCATAGATAGCAGACCAAATTAGTGGTCCTAACCTCTTGAGTAGACATCCATATTCTGTCTTCCCTGCAGAAGAGAGAGCTCATCATGGGAGAATATCCATGAATTCCCTAAGTCTGGGAGGATGGAACTGTGACATTCATTTAGTCAGGGAGTGTGGTGTTTACCTTCCTAAGCTGAAAATCTCATTCACTTCTTAACCACAAGCATGTAAGGGAAGGTCTAACATCCATACATCAACAAACTCAGAGAGATTGTTTCTCCAAAGCCACATAGCTAGGGAGAAGCCACTTCAAGTTCATGTATCGGCCATATTGCAGGGCTTTAAGGAACACAATGTTATCTCATGCAGGTATCTTGTACTGTCTAGATTCATGGCCGGTGCATATAATTTTATCCATGTAACTAATGTCTCCACGTCCATGTTCCATGTTCCTCTCATGATCCTACTAGCTCATTATAGATTTGCTCAACACCAAGTCCAGTTCGTTCTGCCTTTAAACAGGTGGTTTCAAGAAGCTATAGGGAAGTACTTACCTGAGTGTAATGGCCACAGACTCCTGTACATTTCCTAGTGCTGAAGTCATAGTCCTTGATTTCTTTATACCAGGCGGAGATGGCGGAAGATACTGAGAAGAGGGATAGAGAGCCAAACCAGATGTTTTCTCCCAGGGCAGTGAAATTTGGGTGTATCCGTGAATGCAGCTGTGGGTTGTGTTTAAATTCACAGGATGTTGCCCAGGCCTTTGCAATTTGGGCTAGTTTTGAGTCCCAGGACTGAAAAAGAATTAAACGAATATAGGAGTCAAGAAAGAAATATCTTACTCAAAAAACCTAAGACTGTTATTAAGAACACAAGGCTGTTCACCTACTCAACTCAGAGCTCGAGACCCCACTGACTTACTACTTAAAGGCCAGGCTCCAGTTCCTTCGAGAGCAACAAATGAGGTAGAATCCAGAAGCAGCATAGTGCTTACTAGTATCTACCTGCTTACTTGGTTGAGGATACTGTTGTTAGGTTTCTATTGCTCCAGAGACTCACCGTGAAGAAAATGCAAGTTGGAGAGAAAAGGGTTTATTCAGCTCACACTTCCACATCTCTGTTCAAAGAAGTCAGGACAGGAACTCAAATGGCAGAATTCTGGAGACAGGAGCTGATGCAGATGCCATGGAGGGATGCTTTGTACTAGCTTGCCTCCCATGGCTTGCTCATAGAACAAGCCTGCTTTCTTACAGAACCCAGGACCACCAGCCCAGGGATGGCAAATAGGTAGAACCCTTTCCCATTGATCACTAATAGAGAAAAACACCTTACAGCTGGATTCCACAGAAGCATTTTCTCAACAGAGGCCCCTTCTCTGATGACATGGATATCTTGTGTCAAGTTAACACAAAAGCAGACCAGTTCAAATAAGAAGTAATGAGGTCAGAGAATAAGAATAGGAGAGAAACAGAAACATCCGTGTCTTCAAGTGATACTGCCTTATAACCAGAAGCCCTAAGAGATAAACAAGTCCCATGATGTCACAGGGAAAATAAAAAACAGCATGTGATACACAGAAGCTTTTGTTTGAAGGGATAGTGAACTGTCCAAACAAGAAATCTCCAGAACAATTCCGATAGTTCTCCAACAGTAAAGTATGTAGGACTACATCTTATTAAGGGGGTAAAAGATCTCTACAATGAAAACCAAGAAATACTGGAGACATGCTGGAGATGACACTAGATCCGCAGTTCTCAACCTGTGGGTTACAACTCCTCTCTTCAAAAAATCCTTACCTTACAACTCACAGCAGTCACAAAATTACAGTTAGGAAATAGTGACAAAAAATACTTTATGGTTGAGGGGCATGGGACGTGATAAACTGTATTAAAGGGTCACAGCATTAGGTTGAGAACCACACTGTGGAGGATGGGAAGGATGTCCATGCTCATGGGCTTGGGCTCATGGGCTTGGCATTTTCAAATGATAGTATCACTGAAAGCTGTTTACAGATCTCATCACGCTCCTAACGCTTTCTTCTTAAAGCTAGGAAAAACATCTGAAAATTCACACAGACTTCATATGCCACAGGACTTCTGATCGGAAATAGGAGAGCCAATGGACTTGTCAGTCTGGACTCCAAAGACAGAGTGCCAGTCAAAATTGACAGAATGGTATCGGCCTCAGAACAGAAAAGGAGATCAATGCAAGAGGACACTAGACGGATGGTGCTGGGCAAACTGGATGTGCACACACAGAAGCACAAAGCCAGGTTCTACAGTGTAGAAGAAACAAATCATAGTGTCTTACAGATTTTAATGAGACCTGAAACTGTCACAGCCAAATGTCTCAATTTTTACTTCCTCTTCTTCCTCTTTCTTCTTCTTCTTCTTCCTCTTCCTCTTCCTCCTCCTCCTCTTCTTCCTTTTCTTCCTCCTCTTCTTCTTCTTCTTCTTCTTCTTCTTCTTCTTCTTCTTCTTCTTCTTCTTCTTCTTTTCTTCTTTTTGTGCCTTTTATTTTTTCTCTTTTGCCCAATTACTTTGGATAACATTTCAGTATATGAAGCATAGACAGTTTTCTGAACAGAGCTTCAATGGCTCAGGAAATACGTAAGTACTAACAAGCGAGACTGCATTGATTAAAAACCATGGGCACAGTAAAAACTAACATTACCTGAGGGCATAGCCTAAAGAAGGGAAGAAAAGTTGATGATACATGCCTCTAAACACAACACTGAAGGTGGGGTCATAGAGTCAGGCAGATCTCCAAGTTCTAAGCCAGTCTCATTTATATATCAGGTTCAAAAAAAAAAATAAAGAAAGAGAAAGAAAGAAGCAAAAGAAACAAAAGAAAAAAGGAAGAAAATAGAAAATAGATTGCAGCTACTCATACATCAGCAGATTGACCCCTAAAATGTCTGAAGAGCTAAAAGCATCAAACCCTAAAAGGGTGAGAAATCCAACAACCAACAGATGAGCTGGACTCGGTCCTTCAGAGAAGCGTAGCTCAACATCCTCAGCCATTAAGGGAAATGCAACTACAAAGTCCACTGACTTTCGGGTAGAGACAAAGCCCTTTTATATGCTGCTGATAGGAATGTAAATTAGCTCAGCCACTATGGAAATAGGTATCACCCAAAACTATAATCATAAGACTAGCGTGTGATTCAGCTACGATGAGTTTGGGCATGCATTGACAAGAATGGAAGTCAGCCCACTTTGGAGATTTCTGCAACATCCAAGCTATGGATTACATCTAGTGGTCCCAGATAGATGAAAGGGTAAAAAAAATAGTTTGTGTACAGATATGCTTATATAAACATACTGAGGGGTGTTGTTGAGTCACCAAGAACAAAATTATGACATTTGCAAGAAACCAGATGGGATTGGAGATCATCACGTTAAGTAACATAAAGCAGATGCAGGAGGGACAGTATCATGTCCTCTTCTATATGAAGTATAGAGGAGAACAACCGAAGACCACAGAAATATAGAAGGAGAAAGGGGATCAGAGGACGGGGGCATGATTATAACCTAAGCACACTGAATTATCATAATGAAATACCATTATTTTACATAGCATATATTGGGAAAAAACCCTGAAGACATAAAAAAAAGAAACCTCACAAATATTAATAGGAAAACCCATGACAACAAGGAAGTCTGTTGCCCATGGCTGCGGAGAGGAAGTGTACCGAAAGAACTGAATCATGTCTGTGGCATTGCTCAAGACAGTCGGGGAAAGGTTAGAGACTCTGATCACAAGCTGAGTTTACTGCACACATTCATTACAAGAAAAAAAAAAGCCCACTCAGGGTTACCCAGAATTCACACCCAAATTAAAGCAGGCGTGTCGCTTCTGCTTGACATGTGCTACAAACCCCCCTAGTGGACTCACCATGTACAGCATATTTCTGGCTGCTGGGTTCACTTTTGACCGAAGCTGGTTGTGAACTTGAACACATTCTTTGATGAAGTCCTCGTTTGTTACATCTGGCAAAGTCTGTGCTGTATATGAAGAACTAGATACAGAAGAAGCCATCCAGACCATCACAGCAAGGATGACCTGCATGGTCCCTCTGCTTGCTGCTGGACCTAGAATCCAGAGCCTCAGTGTTCTGATAGAATGCAGACTGTCTCCGTGTTGAAGCTTGGATGAACCCAGGGTTGTTTTTGCTAGACAAATGCTCTGCCTCTGAGCTCCATCTTCAGAACACTGGTTTTGTTTTTCTTATGGCCAGCTTTACAAAGCACAGCCTACTTCAGCTTGAGAAGTCCGAGAGCAGAACATGACGTCACAAAACTCACACACTGGATTTCTCCATATATGGCTTGCAGCTTGATTTTTTTTCTTCTCTTCTCTTTTCTTTCTCTTTTCTCTCTCTTTCTGGCAAGCAAATAACAAAGGATACTTTATTGAGAGTTGAATACAGAAATTGTTTTTCTTGTCCAGATTTATAAAACCAAACAAGTTGCGCAAACCAACGTGGTTTTTATTTTATAGTTTCAGAGAAACTGAGACTCTTCGTTGTAATTGCACTGTGGAGAATTTTTTTCTTTTATTTTTTTCTATTTTGAAAATACAACATACACCCCTCTTGTCTCCATTTAAGGACCAGGATTGATTTTGAAAAGAAGGCCATAGGTAGCTCCAGGAACTGATCATAAAATCCAGAAACAAGGTCATAAAACTGCCTCCCAAAGAGCAGCCTGGGGATAATCACAAGAATGCGGAAATATCTTATCTCAGGATGGGCCAGCTCATCCTATGGTTAAGCAGTCAGGACATAGGAATGCATACCACTGACCACCTGTGACTCCCTAGCATCCAGCAATGAAAATTTAGATTACCCAATCCTTCTAGAGAGTTCCCCTGGTTCCCCTAAGAAGGCCTGCGTGCCTTTGTCTGAAGTCACCATTTCAAAAAATGGTTTGACCCCCCCACATGCTGGTTGTTTCTGCAGAATAAGTGTTGTTTATCTTTGTATACTATCTGAGACTGTGGTCTTCCTTCAGCGGTTTTCAGACCCTTTCATCCCAAGCACTGCCCCTCCTCCCAGTCCCCTCTCACTGAGACCCTCCTCCATCCACCTTTCCCTTCTCTGAGAGGGTGGGCTCCCCCTGGATATCCTCACATCCTGGCATCAAGCCTTTGCCAGATTAGGTGCATCCTCTCCCACTGAGGCCAGACATCGGCCCTGTTGGGGAATGGATACCACAGTCAGGCTACAGCTTTAGGTAGAGCCTCTGCTCCAGTTGTTGGGAGGCCTCTGTAGAGACTGTGTCTTAGGAGGGGGAGCAAAATACTGCCAGGGGCTTCACTGTAGCTAGTGTGTGTTCTTTGGCTGGTGGCTCAGACTCTGAGAGTACCCAGAGGTCCAGATTAGTTGACACTGTTGGTCTTCTTGTGGGGTTCCTATCCCCTTCAGCGTCTTCAATCTTCCCAGCTCTTCCATAAAAGTCCCCTCCCTCCATCCAAGGTTTGGCTGTGGGTATCTGCATCTGTTTCAGTCAGCAAGGGGAACACTCCTCCATTGCTTGTGGGAGTACAAATCTATACAACCATTTTGGAAATCAATTTGTTGTTTTCTCAGAAAATTGGAAATAGTTCTACCTGAAGACCCAGCTATACTGCTCCTGGGCATATACCCAAAAGATGCTCCACCATACCACAAAGACACCTGCTCCACTGTGCTCATAGGAGATTTTTTCATGATAATCAAAAACTGGAAACAACCCAGGTGTCCCTCAACCATAGAATGGATACAGAGAATGTGGCTCATTTACACAATGGAAAACTAGTCAGCTATTAAAAACACGGACATCATGAATTTTGTAGGCAAATGGATGGAACTAGAAAATATTATCCTGAGTGAGGTAACCCAAACCCAAAAGGACATGCATGGTATGTATTCAGTGTTTAGTGGATATTAGCCATAAGCACCAAATACCCGTAATAGATCTACAGACCCAAAGAAGTTAAACAAGGAAGGCCCAAGGGAGGATGCTTGAATCACACTTAGGAGGGGAAACAGAATAGTCATAAGAGGCAGAGGGAGGGAGGAAGGAAAGTGGGTGGGAGGCTGGAGGGGGAAGGGAATCGGGGCAGGCCTGGGGAGAGAGATCCAGAGAGCCAGGAGAATGAATAGAAATCTGCAGCTGCCCAGGGCAGGGGTGGGGAGAATCTTTAGGCTGTCCCAGATGTCAATGCAGGTGATCTTAGCTGAGATGCCTAACAGTGGGGACATGGAACCTGATGAGGCTCATATTGTTCTTAATGAGGAAAGTGACTCTCTGTGACAGATTCTTGATTGGTGACATCGGGCTTTGAGTTGGGAGGTATTCCCAAAGGAATTTCTGCAGTCTTTAGAAATAAGTCCTGTATTAACCAGGGTTCTCTAAGAAACAAACATGACAGAATATTTGTATTAAAGGGGGTTTATTAGACCGGCTTACAGGAGTGGCCTGAGTGGTCAAACAATGCTGTCTCAAGACAGCAAGGCTGAGCATCTGCTAGCTGTTCAGTCCAATTGGAGCTCTGGAGTATTCCTGAAGTACTGCCAGTCTTCAGTTTATATTGGAATCACGAGGAAGCTGAGTCTGCCACCAACCACTGCATCGGGATAGAAGAACTTACCAGCAAGAGTGAGGGCAAGCAGGCAAAAAAAAAAAAAAAAAAAAAAGCAACCTTCTCTTAGGTACTTTGCTGTGGGCTGCCACCAGAAGGTATGGCTCAGATTTAGGGGTGGGTCATTCTACTTGAAAGTATCTGTTTAAGAAAATCTCTCGAGGGATTCCAGATGTAGTCAACTTGACAGCCAGTATTACCATCAGATCTCTCCACTAAAAGGTTTGCAAATGTTTTTGGAAAGGCTTTTTGTTGGAATTGTGTGTACAAATGCTGGTGGTGGGGAATACAATAAATAATGCCCCCTTTATTAGTGGGCATCTGAATGAAAGCCCTACACAGACTACTTTCCTATAGTGGTAAAGTTGAAGTCACAACTTATGCACACTAAGAGGTAATGTCAATGATAATCAACTCAAACTATCAGAGTATTTACTAACAAACTTGCCAGAATCACCACTCTGTGCATTGGGGCCATCAGATGCATTAAGTAAAATAAAAGGTTTCTAGAACATGGCAGCAATATCAAAAGTTTATCTGAAAATAAACAGTTATTAACTGACCAATGACTAATGATCAGAACAACTGCATACATAGTAAACAAAGGAGGGGTGATGTTCAGGACAGAATAATTTACAGTGGTGGTACAAGATTTCATGATGTTCAGAATAGTGTTCAGCTTAAAGCCGATGCCTTGTTTACTTCTAGAATTTTCTATGTCATACTTCCGGATGGTGGTTGGCCGCGGGTAACTGAAGCTACAGAAAGTAGAGCCATGAGTAAGAGGGGGCTGGTCTATGTGGTTAGCGTGATGACTTTGTGCAGAATTCAAAGGAGGAAGTGAAACCCAGGCACGCCTGGTGAAGGAGGGAGGGAGGGAGGCAGGGCGGTTGAGAGAGCAAGGGGGGAGGAGCGAGAAGGAAGCAGAGAGGAGGGCCATCTGTTTTAGTTTAATTTCTGTTAGTGACTAGCAGCTAGCTTTGAGACCCTTGACCAGCTTAGCATACTCTCTTAAGTTCTTAGAAGCCTATTAGATGAGGCTAAAGGGGGATGTTTCTGTCTCCTTGATCATAGAGGTTTGGGAGGATCAAATGAACCTTAATTCAATACGTTAAACTCCTACTGTATGAATTAGGTTTAATATGCAATAAATACATTATATATAACATATATAATAAATACATTATACATAACCCTCAAAGGAACTGTCTGTTAACGTTAGAGTGGTTTCAACACAGCTGCCAACCTGAATGATATGCTCGGAAAGGTGTGGTGTCAGCAGGAGAGGATACACAGCAAGCGCAGACGTAATGTCCTTCACCTGCCACAGGGGTCTCCAATCTTCCTAATGCTGTGTCCCTTTAGCACAGTTCATGTTGTGGTGACCCCCAACCATAAAATTATTTCCACTAATAACTGCAATTTTGCTACTGTTATAAATCATAATGTAAATAAATTTTTGGAGATAAGAGTTTGCCAGAAGATTTGTGGCCCACAGGTTGAGAACCAGTGAGGTAGCCGCTAAGTTTTTTTCTCAAATAGGTGAGAATTAAGTAAAAAAAAATCTAGGAACCTTCTGGCAGCTTTGCTATCGGTACATAAGCAAATGGCCTTGCTAGACACTCACAGTGAATCTCAAATTCTGTCTAGGATGCTGTTTCTAGTAGGAATGCTTTCTAGCATATCAATAGACTAAGCTCTCTCTTGGCTGACGATCAAGCAACATTTGGATCAATGTTGTAATTAATAATCACCAGTGAGGAGGTTCTTCCTCGTAGGCAGGCCTGAGTCTGCTTCCCATCTCCTGGGTCTGTTAGCTAAGCTAGCTGGGTTTGGAACACCGAACAAGAAACAAAACCCCACCAGGGAGCAAATTTAGCGTCGTTCGTGGTTGCTTGAGTCCCCCAGCTACACCATGCAACTCCCAAGACATTATCGTCCTGAAATGCGCCCTAGTTGTCTTCCTGTTGCAGTGATAAAACAGGGAGCAAAACAAGTTGGATGAGGAAAGGGCTTATTTGGTTTATACTTTCACGCCACACCCAATCAGTGAGGGAAGCCAGCATTCAAGCAAGAACCCAGAGGCAGGAACTGAAGCAGAGTCTAAAGATAAACGCCAACGCTCAACTTACTTTCTTATAGCACCCAGGACCTCCTGCCCAGGGGTCGCACTGCCCAAAGCAGGCCGGACCTTCCCACGTCAATGATGAATCAAAGATATGCCCCCACAGACTTACCAACGGATCAATCTGAGGGATGAAACTCGTTACTTATGGTTCCCAGGTGATTCTAGGTAATGTGTCAAGTAGCCAGCACAATGCTGAAACAAGTAGCTGATGTTTTCTCTCCTAGAACTAATCTTTCAAAAGGAAAGTACCATCAAAGGCTTTTTTTTTTAAAACTCCTCAGATCCAACCCCCACCTTCCCTCTTCACACTGTATCTCTCTAGCCAAAGCGCAAAGGTAAGTGGTTTACCACGGAACAGCAACAGCGGAAAGGAACTCTGCTCAGTTCTCAGCAGGTTTACAAGTGTTGGAGGAACGTCTCCGCCCGCTGCCTTCAGGATCTGCTACAGGGCCATTTTAGCAAAGTCTTCTGCTTTTCAGTATTTGTTTTCCTCTTTTACAGTGGAGCTACACAACCTTTTATAGTCAGAAAATAAACTCTCTTTTGCAGAGTCATATGCACATTCACACACAGATCCAGCACGGTAAAAATGTCCACAGGTAGAAGGTTATCAGTTCTCCCTGTATTATCAGTACACAAGGGGGTAGAGGAAAAACAGCGCTGCCGGATCCAGTACACTCTTACCCTCTCTGATTCTCGAAACACTAAAGACTTTAAAATCTCTAATAAAGCAGTTCTCAAGTTGTGGGTCTCGACCCCTTTGGAGGCCAAATGACCCTTTCACAGGGAACACCTAAGATTATAGGAAATATCAAATATTTACATTTTGATTTATAACTGTAGCAAAATTACAGTTATGAAGTAGCATTGAAAATGACTTTATGGTTGGGGGCCATCACACTGTGAGGAACTGTAGTAAAGGGTCACAGCATTAGGAAGATTGAAAGCCACTGCCCTGGAGACTATTTTTTTCAGGTTTCACAATCAATCATTCTGTCGGCCACCTGTTCTCTTTTAACAAGGACTATTTTAATTTGGGTAGCTCCATTTTGTTTATAACCAGGAATTCTGACTTTTTTTTTTCTGCACTATATGGTCTTACTCTCTAGCCTAGGCTAGCTTCAGATTTGTGATCCTTGTGTCATAGCCTCAAAAGTGCTGGGATTACAAGCATCAGCTACCATATCTGGCTTCTAACTGTTGTTTTGAGACAGAGTCTTCCTATTTTGTAGCCTCGGTTATCATAGAACTTGCTGGTTCTAGACCGGGCTGGCCTTGAACTCGCATAACTCACCTGTCTTACCGGGGCTGGGATTCAAGCCATCTGCTACCAAGCCCAGCAAGATTCTTTAACATACTGCTGTTCTTTCAGTCCTGGGTATATGTACATTTGAATATACATGTGTTTCAAAAAATAAATAATAAAATAAACTGTATGTTTGAAGATTTCAGTAAGACCATAATTTTACACATTTTGTGTCATTTTTCTATAACCATAATTTCATGAAAATGCTATTGTTATTATAACTATATACTTGGAGCTGTATTTTCTACAAGGGAATGTACCATGATTTGCATACTATTACACACACACACACATACATATATATATATATATATATATATACACACACACACACACATATATATATGTATATATATTTTTTGTTTCAGATTCCTTTGTTTCATAAATAATGCACCTTGGAAATTTTCACAGAAAGAGAATCCTGTACAATTATCTTTAGAACTTATACTAATTTATATTATCATTAGCATATGCCTATCAGTCTGACTTCTTAACAGCAGACACTAAGAGACTAAAGATATGTCTGTTTTTTCATATTGCTTGCTAACACTAGAGCTAATAACGCATGGCCAGGATAGATGTTATTTGGAAATCTCAGAACTGGGCTCAATTTCAAATACAGTAAAGACACTTGAGGAATTACAGTTGTCACTAGCAGTGCTAACTCAGTCTTAACAGGGAGCTGCTGTTCCCTCAATGTCCTCTGCTTCATAAGATAGGAAGTTCAGATATGAAGCTAGGAGAGATGAGATACCCTCTGAACAATTGTAAGAGCAGTTTTCCTTTAAGGTAGTCTATGGGGGTTTAGCAAAGGGTCAAAGGTCAGGGCCTACTAAAGAATTCTGCTTAGAGCATCCAGAATTAATGTAGTCAAAGAATCTTGTCAAGACTCACAACTTCCTCCTTCCTTAACTGCTTCCTAACTTAAACTCAATCTTGGGGTGTAGTTTTCCCAAAGATGGATCTGAACTGGAATCTCCACATTGGCCTTGGATTTTGGGATGTTGTCTACCATGAAAAACAGCTCCTGACTCAACATTCCTAGTGCCAGGATCAACTTCGCTCACACAATAATGGCTTAAAAAATGATTCTGAAGGCAGCGATCAGCCAGGTGTTTCACTACAGTGACAAAATTCCCAGGAAGACACCTCAAGGAAGGAGAGATGGGTTTTCGTTTAGGTTTTCAGTTTGAGGCAGTGTGTAGGCTGGGGTAAGGCAGAGCCGAGGAATCCAGTGAAGAGAGACAGTGCTGTGTGTGCCAAGTCATCTGGAAGCAGAAAGCAAGGGGGAAGGGCCAGGAGACAAAATGTATCTTTCCTGGACATGTCACTAAGGACCTTTTCCCAACTGGGTCCCACCTCCTACTTTTCATAAGCCTAATAATTTCTCATGAACTAATACGTTTCCCAGAGCCTACCAATCGGCAATCACACCCACCCAAAATGTACGAGCCCATGGAAACAGCTTTTTTCAAACCATCATGATGTTGAGGCTGAATACCATGCACACATAAACTCTCAGACATGGCTATAATTACTGCAAATACATGTTATACTTTCCATGACACTGATGGGTTTCAGACATTTCAAAAAACAGTTTCACATCCTGCTGGTGCATCTGAAGCTGAAAGGCAAGGAACTCGGTTTTACATAAACATCAGAGGTTTGATGATGTTTGAAGAGACTCTGCCTGTGCACTCTGCCCGGCTTCCCCAGCGAGATCGACTGGAGAGACGTGTGCCTCAGACGTTACATTACCAGGTTCTAGGTATCCGAGAAGACCACTGCACGAGTGGAATACTGTGTAGGAGGAGCAGCTCTCCTGTGGAATGGCTGCGAGCTGCTGTGAGGTTGCCATGGTAACATCCTCTTTGGCTCTAGCTTGAGACTGTTTAGCTACACACTCGCACTCGTGCCTTTCCAGCTCTTTGGATTGAACCCTAGGACTAAGGAAGACTAACGTAACATGCATATGACAGACTATTCCACGGGCTTAAAAGGAGCAGGTCGCTGTGACCCAGGACCTTGTAATTTTTTTTGTGACACTACAGTCTGGCATATTCTGTTGATTTTCACTTTCTTATGTCCCTGGAATTGCATAGGTACATTGCATTTAAAATTTTATTTAATTGATTTTTTTTATTGAGATAGGGTCTCATGTAGTTCAAGTTAGTCAGTAGGTAGCCAAGGTTGACTTTGAGCTCCTGATCTCTCTACCTCCTCCTCACAATAGGTACATATCTGATGAAGACACCACGGGCCAGCGTTAGAAAACTCACTCAAGTTCACACAGAAAGAGAAAAAACAGAAGTGAACTTGGGTTTCCCCTTTTCCTAGTAACAATGGCTTTCAGACCTTGGTAGCAACACAGTGACCGACTGGTGATTGTCCTTTGTTCTTCCCAGAGCACTGGGGCCATGACACAGTAGGTTAGCCACACTATTTCACACCACGCTGTCTCTTTTTCCCTGATGACATTCTCCCTGCTTAAAAGAGGGCTTGGGCTGAATCATGTAACCTCCTTCCTCATACTTTGGAATGTTGACATCTGAATCTTTCGATACAGCTTCCTGATTGCCATCACTAGGCCTTCCCTTAGTCAAGTTTTAGATATGTGAGATTCATTTTATACAAAATTCTACACTTAACACCACCTGATAGTCCTGGGAAACTTTGACGTTGGCCTATAAGATCTTTTTCTCTATTTGAATTATCTAATGCTGTGCAGAACCAACTCTATTCTATGGTTTTTAACAAAATAGGAGTTTCGGAGACACAGACTGGGCCTTTCCAATTAGAATTGCTTCACCTCCAAATTCCCTTCCTTCAGTTGTAATGTTCTCTTCCTTGGTGCCTAATGTCTGCACTGCCTGCAACTGGACTGATGATGGCTTCAGGCTTCTTATATCTCTCAAACTCTAACCTATTTTTGTTTTTCATTTTTGCAAGTCCAACAGCCAGGATGCAATAATTACAAACATGTCATACCAGAGTCTTCCCTCCTCTTACTCTTAGTAGTATAACTAGGAACCAGGTGTGGCTTAAGAACTCCCAACTGCCTGATGAGGGCCTCCACACACATGCACACAGGTGTGTGTGCACCATACAATATGCAAAACCACTGCCATAGATACACATGAGCATGCACCCGCACACACTCACAAAACTTAGAGAGGGATGGAGAGATGGCTAAGAGGTTAAGAGTACTGGCTATTCTTTTAGAGAACCTGGCTTGAATTCCCAGGACATACAGGACAGCTCACACAACTGTCAGCAACCCAGTTTCAGGGATCTGATGCTCTCTTCTGCTTTCCTCGGGCACCTGGCACACAGGTGGTCTACATATATACATGCGGGCAAAATAGCTATATACATTAAATTAAATTAAAAATAAAGCAAAATTACAAATTTAGAGAAAGGAAATGAAGAAGGAACAACAACAGACTCCTGGGAGATTCATAAGTTCCCATTCCTGGATATCACCACCATCCTCAGTAGCGGTCCAGGAAACTAGGGCATTACTCTCTGTAGCTAGGAAATCCCAATAAAGGAAGAAGTGCCTTTGACTACAGTGACTCTGCTTTTTTGAAATAGAAGTGTCCTAGTCCTTCCCTGGTAAAAAAAAAAAAAAAAAAAAGGTGAGGGCAGGATGCTGGAGAGATGTCTTAGCAGTCAAGAGCACTGACTACTCTTCCAGAGGTCCTGAGTTCAATTCCCAGCAACTACATGGGGCTCACAACCATCTGTAATGGGATCTGATGTTCTCTTCTGGTGTGTCTAAAGACAGTGGCAGTGTAAACACACACACACACACACACAGACACACACACACACCCTATATCATTTCTCCTGTTAAGACTAACTTTTCTTCTATTCCTAATAACTGAAAGGGAGACATCCCTCAAATCCATTTTATCAGGTTAGCAGCACCCCCTTACCAAAACTGGACAAATTCACAACCAGAGAAAGCTGTAGATGAGTGGTTCTCAACTTTCCTAATGCTTCAACCCTTTAATACAGTTCCTCATGCTGTGGTGGCCCCC